TAACCTTACCAATGTTTTCTAGGCTGTTAATGTAAATGACTGGGTACGTGGTACTCTTGGTGGGAGGGAAGCCATTGTTTTTAGAAAAGTATTCTTTGGGCAGTTTTCCAGAGACAGCCTATTAAAATCATGCCATCTACTGCTCATCTCAAGAGCCTGAAAACACCTTAACTAAAGTTATAAAAACTTCAGGTGGGAGGCATGCAGGTCTGCTAAGAAATCTCCAGAACTCTTGTCCTGGACCCTAATCTCAGAAACTTCAGGGGGCAGAGTGGTTGAACTGAGGAGTTGCATGTGGACTTCATATCTGTTCAGTTTTCTGGAATTGGAAGAATGAACCCTGCCCAGAACTGAGCCTTTCCTTTCCCTTAGAAACCGTCTAGAAATCTACTACCTGTTACCACGAGACCACACTGGTTGTCTTGTCCTCACTGTAATGTCAAGGATGCTGGTGTGATGGAGCAGGGACAACCTCTGGAGGCTGGCAGACCTATGCACACAGCCTGGGTCAGCTACCGCTAGTGCATGACTTCCTCTCTGGGCCCCTCAGCTCCTTCCTCTATGAATGGGGACCGGACGATACCCACTTACCAGGGCTAGCTGAGGACTAGAGACACTGATGCAGTGCCTAGCAGAGTGCTGAGCACACATCAGCCTCTCCCTGTGACCGCTGCTAACACTGCAGCTAAAACAGCAACCACAAACCCAATCTTTGCTTAGTCTACCTCAGCAGGAGATCAAACAGAGAAAACTCACCTGGGACCACTTGTCATTAGAAAAGATGGTGCCTGCACCTTTGGCCTCTGTAACAAGAACACAGTCCTCAGAAATAAACAGTACATAGATTTAGATATTTAACCCATTTCAGGTTTCAGCTATAGTTGAAGCCACTATGTCTGTTTTCCACACAATCCCCTTTAGCTCTTGCCTACTGCATTCACCTTTTCTACTCACTCGTTTATATATTCATTGTTTACATCCTGTAGCTATTTCCTAAGCCTCAGTGTATGCTGGGCGCTGAGGATGCACACAAGGCCATGTGGTCCCAGCTTCCCAGGAGTCTGCAGACTAGTCTTCCCATCCACCCCGGGTGCAGTCACTCAAACCAGTTTTGTTCTGTCTCTTCACTTCCCCTCCCACTCAGTCTCACTCACATCTCAGCAGCCATGCTGCTCTTCCTAGCATCTGGCCCCTGAGCCCTGGCTTTTCTCAGAGAGTGTTCTCACCATCTAGGGTAAAGCAGCCACCACAAGTCCAGTCTTGGCTTTGAGATCTAACGGGAAGCATTTGAAGTGAGAGCATTTGATTACCACCTTGCTCTAGAGAAAGTGTGAACCAGCATATTGGGATAGGAAAGTCTGCTTGGCTTTGTGCTTCCCATCCACCAGAGGAATGATTCTCTCGATCCCACCCACATAAGGCTAGAAGAATGGGAGAGGAGCTGCAGGTGACTAGAGACGTAGGTAACAATTGTGTTGCTGTTGTTTATTTTGGGAGGTCAGATGTTCGTTGAGTAGCTTACGTTCTTACAAGTGTTCAAAACATCAAAAGCACTCATTGAAAATCCATACAAATACCTGTGTCAGACCAAATAAGGATGTTTCCTGTTTTCGATTATTTTTGTGACTTTAACTCTCAATGAAGTTAGATAATTGTAAAGAGATTCTAATCTCACTTTTCTGTATCTGATCAAGACTTGAAATCGGGAACTTCCTTGACCCATGAAATTCCATTTGGTCAGGTCAGAAAGTAACCACAGTTGAAGATGTCTTGCATCTTCTAGATGTCTTGCAGATTAATTAAAAAAAAAAAAAAAAGAAGAAACAAAGATTTATTGCTACTGTATTTAAAGTGTTAAGTTTGTTAATGTATCAAATACATGAAAAAGTATATCAACCTTAATTGTGCAGGAAGATGAATTTTTATATAAATACTTATCTATGTATACACCTATTTATAAAGATACCTAAGTAACCAAGCACCAGACTTGCAGATTAAATTTAAGAGTAGGTGAGTGTGTTATTTACTGAGTGTCTACTATGTGGCGAGCATAGTACAAAATTGCTTGATATATATGCAGTCACTCAGTCTTTACAGCAACCCTTTAATGTAGCTGTTATAATCCCCTATTTTATCAGGAAGGAAATATACTCAGAGAAATGAAATGACGTGTCCAACACCCCAAGTTCTTTAAGTGGCAGAGCCAGATTTGAGCTCATGTCTCCACCAAACCTGGTTCATTTCCTTTCACTGAGAGAAGTTTCCTACAAACTCATGTCAAAGCCTGTGGGAGTGGGAAGGAGAATGAAGAAACATCTGAGGCAGCATGGATCTAACTTTGCTGAAAGGACCAAGCTACCCAACTCCTGCTCCCAACTGATCCCATCACCAGCTTGGCAGAAAAACTGCTTAGGATAATATGTATGCTTAGGACATGTTTTTGTTGTAAGTGCCTTCGAGTTGGTTCTGACTCATAGCAACCCTGTATAAGGTTTCTGATCTGTGGCTGGTGGGATTGAGCAGCCAACCATGTAGTTAGCAGTCCAGTGCTTATCCTACAGCACTATACCAGGACTCAGATGTAGCCCGGGTTGGGTAAATTATCCAGCCATTCCAGCCATCCCATGGCGGTATTGGAGATGTGTGGCCGTTGTAGAGGGGTGGGGTCCCAGCACTCACAGCAGTCCCTTGTAAGAGGGTGCTTTGTGACTGGCCAGGGAACGGGGTGGGCGGTCCAGAATCATGACGGACTCTCTGCTTCCTGCTTCACTTTTTCCCATCTCTAACCACACAGAGCCTCCCACCAGAGGGCCCACACTCCATACTTCAGCATTTCACCTGGTATTCTTCCGTGCCCTTCTTCTTAAGAATTTGTCCACTGGTTGGGCTATTTCTCACACAGCCTACGCTGGGCAGATCCAGAGATTACTGGAAAAAAGAGTTCTAGAAATTCATTGCCACATCAATACCATTTGAGCAGATCCTGTTCACTCATTTCCATTTCTCCGGAAGAGTAAAAAGGGAAAAAAAAAAAATCCATTTTAGCCAACTTTATTTTTAGAAAAGTATTTTATTCAAACATCCCCTTACTTATTACAGACATAAATACATGCATTCAGACAAATGAATCCACGGGAGAACCGTATAAAGTAATTGGCACATCACTTCAGGATGCTTTGTCAGTTACTGGAGGAGTTTGGTGCCTCTAACTTTAATCTTTTCCATTAAAATATCCATTCTGCCTGCAGATTGTGAAGCCCATAATATTTTAGACTGTCTCCATGGATCTGTTAGTTTTGCTTGTCAATTTAATTTGTGGCTCTATGACTTTGGATGACTTGTTAGATTGTACATGGAAACATGTGATCTGCAAATGATGTTCAACATGGCAGGATTAGGACCTTGCCTCTCCCAGAGAGACTGGACAGATAAGAAATAGTGGAATTGGCAGATTCCATGGGCAATCAGCCGAACTGCTATTTTGATGGTGATGTATGGAGCAGCAGGTGTTTAAAACTGCAGAGACATGCATTAACCGTTGTTATTATATACCTTAAATGTTGGCAGCACTTTTTACTCTCTGCAACACTTTTTATATACAGCATCTCATTTGCTTCTCATAGCTTCCTTCTGCTGGGTTATTATTTCTCTCTATATAGCTAATGAAACTGAGACACAGAAAGAGAGGTTCAGGTTGCCTGAGATCACAGGGTAAATCTGATTGTAAAACTGCCAGAGGCTAAAACCAAATGTGTTCCAAAGTGAGCTCGGTCACAAATGTCCAGTCTGGAGGGTGGTGTGTGGTGGCCTTTGTTCTGTGAAAGGTAGGGTGTAGAAGACACAGTTGCCACTCGCCCGTCCCCTGTGGGGAAGGAGTTTGGAAAGATGAGTCTTTCTGCTCCCGTAAAGATTTACAGCCTCAGAAACCCTGTACAGGGTTGCTATGGGTCGGAACCGACTCCACAGCACTTAGCAACAACAACAAGAGCTATCAGGGTGGCAAAGAGGCCCAGAAGCTGAAACGGTCTCATCAGCGCCACATAAGTGACTGAGGCCTACTTCCAGCCTCCCTCCTTCACTCTCACCTATGCAATGTGCATTTTACGTATCCCCAGTGAGATCTTTCTTCAATGAAGATCTGAGCATGTCTATTCTGAGCAATCAACCCACCCATGGCTCCCACTGCCTCAGAATGAAGGCCAGGTTTCTTGGCATGCTCTCCTTCTAGCCCACCTCTCTTTCTCTCCTGCTATGCTGAGTTCCAGAACCCATTCCCAGCCTCCTTTCTTGCTGCTTTATTGGCTCAGAGCACATTTATGATGAACTCCTTAAATGGTACCTTCTCTGGAGTCTTCCCTGACCTCTGATCGAGGATCCAGAGGCATCCCTCCCCCAGCTGTGTGGCCACAGCACTTTGCCCAAGCGTCTTTCAAACTCCTCAAGGGCAGCAGAGTTGTAGTAGGTGCCTGTGTCCTTTTTCCTCCCTTAGATGTCTGACAGACTTTGTAGTGAAGGCAATGGATGAGAAGGGAGGGAATGAATTAGTGAATGATGAATGAATGAGAAGTCTTAATCTGCCTGAGCCAACAGGAAATATGGCCTTGGAAAGTAACCTGGAATGTGGCCCTGCCATACTGTTGACCCTTATTGGTGAAATGAGAAGCAGAAAGACAGGCGAGATGGGACTCTGCCGGGTGACCCAACAGAGAAGTAGCGTATCCGGGATGAGAGGAAAGGATTCATCCTCTTGGCCCTCTGGGGTCTCTGACTTTGGAGAGAACCAATTCCCCTGAAGGTTCTCACCAACGCTTTTGGTGGTAAAAGCTCTTCTTTGCGGAGTCAGGAGTCTTTGCTGAGGGTTCCTAAACGGTTTGCCTAGGAAGAGCCTCCCAGGTCATTAGCAGGATATCGAGGTGGAAGATGAGGTCATAGAAGGCCCAGGACTAGGTAGAAGTGTGAACCAAGGCCTCAGGCTCTCTTCGTGTGGCTCTTTCTTCTAGATGATCTCTGTCCTCATGAGCACCATCATCTTTGAAGACTGCCGGAACCAGTGGTCAGTATCCAGGCCTCTCCTGGGGCTCCTCCTGCTCAATGAGAAGGTGAGTGCATGTGATGCAGAAAGGGCCACCAGGAGGAGGGAGAGGCTATGTGCCAGGCCAGGCTGTGACGATGACAGACAGTGGAGTGGGGCTGGGGGAGCTTGGGCTAAGCCCATCCCTCAGAAAGCCCTTCCTCAGAGGCCTCAGATCTTCATCAGTTAAGCTTCAAGACCAGCTCTTATGGGTGGGTGGTTTGCTCAGTAGTACTCTGAGCCTGCCCTCGCTCCCCAGACCTCATTCCAGGGGAATCTGAGCAACAACCCTCCAGGCCTCTTCCCCTGACCTCCTTTCATATGTGGGCTCCCCACAGTCCTTGCTGGAAGCAGCACCCTGCAGGGACTCCTCCACAGTGAGCGACCACACCCTCTGTCCAGGGAACACCATCTCCAGCTTCTTCAGTGCATTCGCTACCCTGGGCCAGCTCCCAGGCCTCTCCAGCTTCCTCCTGGACCGAGCATCTCCCCAGCAGTCAGGAGGAATAGTGCATTACTGCTGTGGAGAATGAATTGTCTATACAATAAGATAGTACTGGGGAGAAAGACAGTGAGATTAGAGGCAGCCGCATACATTAAAATTCAAACTGAAATCCCAGCCTTGGAAGGAAACTAATAGAAGAAGAAAATATATCAAAAAGAGAAGAGCTGTCTCATCATTCACCTGTGCTGAAGTATCCAATTTTAGCCACATTGAATAGCACTGCCATTCATCTTCCCTCGGTGTTATTGTGATTTAAATCCAAGCTCTATAAAAGAGAGCAGTTCTTTTAAAATGATTGAGAGGGAATAAGGGCAAATTCAGTGTTTAGAAAAAGCTTATGACATCACAATATTATACTTTACTGATGGAGGCAATATTTCATGGTTTGGGATGAAAAACTAATAATTTTCTATTTGGTGTGAGTCACTGCATCATTATAAAGGAAAAATAAGTCATTTTGTGCATTCCCAATCTTGTTCGGGAAGACACTGTGGTTTAAGTGGAATGCCTCTGATGTATAGTGCTGAAGTATTAGTCTGACTGCATATTAATTACGTGTGTTTTTGATGTGAGCTGTTTTCGCGTATGATGGAAATTAAATATCATGCTGTTTGGGCTTGGAAGAATAAACACATGACTGGCAAAGGTTGTCTTTGTACTGAAATTAAGCTGTTTCCAATGATTAGGAACTGTGTTTAGCTTAAAAACTTGGATTTGTATAAAAGCAGAGAAGAGGTGGCTGTGCAGTTCCTTGTGACCACATGTGACATATTTTTCTTAGTGCCAGAAAGCATTGCCAAGGCTAAACAAACCCTGCAAGTCCCCCAGCTCAGCAGAGCAGACACATCCCAACCGATGAGGACAGTGACTTGGGACACAGCCTAGAACTGTTTGAAGAAGACGAAGTCTTGAGGGGAACCCACATTGCCCAAACTGCTCCCTGGGCATTTTCAATGAACTTCCTCTTTTAGTCTTTCTGTGACAAGTGAAGAGAGTCCAAATGCGTAAAGCGCTAGATCTCCCACAGAAGAGGGGAGGACCGGGTCAGCCTAGGCAGTGGGTGGGTAACGGTTAGCTAGAGATTTAGGGGAGGGCACGGTACAAGTCACACCACCTAGGGTTGTCTCCATGGCTTTGGTTTTCTCTAAGGGCTTCAAGTTCAAAATGGCCCTGTACCCCTCTGGTCAGAGCTCTGATGCTCATTCCATCTCCCAACAGTATTTCAGTGAACTGCGGGTGAGTCTGATAAACAGCCAGCCTCTCTCTAAGCGGGAAGTTCTCACTCAGTGCTTCAGGAACCTGATGGAAGGAGTGGAGCAGAACCTCTCCATCAAGAACAGAGACAGGTGAGCATTGCCCAGCAAAGGGCAACAAAAGGGGACACTTGTCCCTGGACGTAAGTCCACAAGGAGGTACCAGAGGAGGCCTGTCAGTGCGACACGCCCTCCCCTTGACGAGGTCGAAGCTGATGGGGGTGGGGGCAGGGTGCAATCTTAGGAATCGCCCCAGAGCACTTGTTACCATTGCTGTGTCTCTGCCAAAAGGTCCAGCAGCTCTGGGGGAGGTGGGCATTCCAGGTTTGTGGGAAATAACTAGATTGTGCCTAATACACCACTCACATATCGAGGCCACTTTTGTCTTGCCCCATGCAAATGGATTCAATTCACATCCATTTGGTAAATATTACTGGGTATATGCTTTTTCCAAGCCTCCTGCTAGACACTGTACAGAGAAACAGAAAAGTAATTTGAAAAGGTCAAAAGAAGAAAAGCTCAGCTCTGCTGCAGAAAACAAGGAAAGGTTTCCCAGCATTTGAGCAAAACACAGGCTTTGAGTTCAACTTAAATTTCAGGTCTGTCCCCTTAAAGGCTGTGTGGTAGTGAACCAATCACTTAACTTCTCTGAGCCTCAGTTTTGCCTCCAGTTGTGATGCTTAAGTCACAGAATAGTACAGCATGGAACCTGGAGCATGTGACCACAGTAAATACAAAGACTTCAAAAAGTTCGTTAAAAAAATCTATTATCTTTTCTTTCCATTTTCCGCAAACTTTTTGAAGCCCCCTCTATTTCTTCATCTGCCGCCCTTGAAGAGTTACTGGGATTGCAGTTGTGAGTAAACTCTAAATGAGAGGACCCTGACGGGTCCGCTGTGCCTGAATGCATCCCTCCATGCAGTGAGTTCTCCAAACTCTACTGAGGCTCGACTGTATCCGGGAATTGGGATACTAGTGGTGAACTAAGTGCTTGAGTTCTCTGCCCTCATGCAGCTTGATCTCCAGTCATGAATGATAGAGGAAGAAAACATGTCCAGGATGAAGACCGTCTGCACCAGTCTTTTAAAAAAGTGATCGCATTCAAATGCTACACCATTTGAAATGCACCTCACCAGCCATGCCCCAAGCCACCGCGTATCATGACATCACCAGCCTGGGCTAAGTCGGAAGGAAGTGCAGACACGTGCCCTTGATTGCTTGTCTCACGCCAAGATCTGAAATCAGGCAAAGAAGGGCAGACCTAGGCACCTCCATTTCCCTAGAAGGGAAACTGCCTCACCCGAGGCTTGGCAATTGAAGCACCTCTTCCTGAACCAGTGTGAAATGAGCATTTGCAGGCATTGTCTCAGTTGACTCTGTGAATTCTCACTTCCTACAGTCCTATGTGGTAGCTACTCCCTGTGGACATCCAAGACCACCCAGCTAATACGTGGTGGTGCCAGGATGTGAACACCCATAGTCTAATCCCAGTGCCGCACCACCCCACCCCATTTTGAACCACTAAATCCAGTTTTCTTTTTAAAGAGGAGATACTAATGCATAACTTTGGGGATTGCTGTGATGATTACATGAGTTCTGTGTAAAACATACAATCAATCCAGTGCCTGTTTTGTTCTTGTTCTTCTGTTTTGTACTATCAGTTTATCATTTGACTTTAAGTAAAATTAAATCGTGAAACCATCCCCTTGGAAAGGTCAGAGAAGATGTGATCGTCACCTTGGTTTGCTGGGCAGGGAGGCAGTAGAGGGAGTAGATGCTAGTGGCGGACAAGCAGTGATAATGGTGGCAGTGGAAAGGAAGGAGTTCAGCTGGGATTCCAGCCCTTGGAGAGCAGGCCCTCTCCAAGGTCCTGAACTGTGCAGCCGTTCTCTCTCCCTGCAGATTGGAGCAGCTCAGCCCTGTCACCTTTTCTTCTTTCCACAGATTCACCCAGAACCTGTCCGTGTTCAGAAGAGATGTGGCAGAAGCCCTGCGCTGTGATAGCAGCAGCGAACCACCAGGCAGCCTGGACATGATGAGCTGACCCAGCCTCTCTGAGCACACACCACACGGCCTTCCCGAGACCCATGGAGGCCACGGTTCCCAGACAGTCATGCTGGCTAGCCCAGGGGAATCTATTTTTCAAAATGAACAACAGCAACAAAAAAATCCTACTTTTTCTAAGTCTGACCTAATTAAAAGAGTTTATAATAGTAAAACAATGTATATTCAGCCTTTGCTCTGAAAAAGGAAGACATGTTTTCTGTTTTCCTAGCAGATATCATTATCTTTGTTCTTATATTGCTCTGAAAAGATGTATAAGTGATATTTACCCAAAGAACATAATAAACCAAGTTTGCATCTAAGTGTGTGCTGGTTAATGGCTCTGCAATCAAGGCTGTGAGTGTGTTGGCAACACGGCTTTCAACATGGACCCTGGATTGAGACAAATGCCATTTGAACCTGTTAAACTAGTAGTTTATTATGAGTCTGGAAGCAGCAGCATTAGGGAGCCTGCGCTGTGGGCATTTCAAACGAGCCTGGGAGCTCTGCAAAGCATCCCACAGGGCCACACTCCGGACTCGCTGCCTCAGCAGCATCTGATAAAGTTGAGAGACAGTAATACAATTAAATGACTTACAAACAGTGTTTGCTTTTCCCTGGCATAAATCTGAAGTGGTTCCGTCTAGAAGAATTAAGCTGTGCAATCACTGCCTGCAGAGAGATCTCTTCAGAAGGGCTCACGTAGTCGGGTAGGAGCTTTCAGGTGGTGTCAACATCCAGGACTTCTGCCCCCATCTGATATCAAGAGAAGCCAAAGGGAACTAATTAAAATGCAGTATTTAACATGGCCGTAGTGGTTATGAATTGGGCTGCGAACCTTAAGGTCAGCAGTTCAAAACCACCAGCTGTTCCACAGGAGAAAGACAAGGCTTTCTGCTCCCGTAAAGATTTACAGCTTCAGAAACCCTGTACAGGGTCACTATGAGTCGGAACCAACTCCACGGCACATAACCACCACCACCACCACTGCCTTCTTCAGCCACTGATGATAGTCCTGGGTGGTGAACCCAAACCAGCTGAGAGTCATGGTGATGAAGGTGTTGAGAGGGTGAGCAGTAGCTGGTCTCCACGCCCCTCCACCCTCCACCACCCCCCACACACACACACACAACAATGCTGTCGACTATTGGAATTGTGCCAAGAGACACAATTCAGTGATCTAACCTAAATCCTGAACATACAGGAGGCCTTTACAGTTTGTGATCTCCTATAACTAGCCTATTCATTTGAGATTGTCACTGTCAGATGGTTTTGTATATCTCTTCATGGCCCAGGCTTATAATAAATACCATGCCCTTTAATTCTGATAAGACATGAAAGGATGCCCTTATCATTAAACAAAAAAGTAAATCCCCAAATTCCTGCTACAATCTCATTTTTTCACATTGGTGTTTCTGGAAACCTTTCTTAATGGTTGAGTTTTACAACAAAAACCAAATTAAGCCCATTGCCATCAAGTTGACGCCAGCTCATAGTGATCTGACAGGCCAGAATAGAAGCAGCCCACAGAGCAGCCGGTGGCTTCGAAGCACTCGCCTTCCTTGGTCAACAGCTAAACACTTTAAGTCCTGTACCACCAGCGTTCCGTGAGCTGTACAATAGGTTTGTGATATAATAGCAAAGACATCCAAGGTTCTTTCAAATTGTGTGTAAACCCAGAGAATCAGGGAAAAGTGTGTTGTAAGTGGAATTACTTCTGGTAACTGAAGAATCAGCAAGGCTGTCGACTTATGCTGTATTTCATTAGAAAGGGGAAATGTCACTTTCCTTGAGAAAGCAAAATACTGAACTCTAGAAACCACTAGCTGTTCAGACAGGTTTGCCCTGAGGACTTCTGTTTCTCAGAGGCTTCATACTGCACACTCACTCCACGAAAATACTTTGCAGATCGTCTATTCCATTCCTGTGCCATTTTCTTTACAAATGTCTAGGACCACAAGGACCATATCATTTCACAGTAAAATACTCCAAAGATTATGACCATGTGTACTTGTGTTTCTTGGCCACACTGATAGTTTGAACCAAGCAGAGCAGGCCCTGTTGACCTTGAAGAACTCCCCTAGGCTGAAGACCTGGCAAGCTTGCTGGTGGGGCTGGATCTGAAAACACACTGTGCAGCATGCAGAGACTCGGACTGGCACCACAGACGGTTACGGGGCATCTACCATGTATGTTATCTCCTCTCTGCCTCACAGCAGACCAAGGAAGTGTCTCATCTTTCAGATGAGGAAACTAAGACTCAACAGTGGGGTCTTGTTTACACCAGGTCCCAGCCTGGACACGAGCCCAGATCTGGCTCACCTCTAAGGAGTTCCTGATCTCTGCCAAGCAAGACCTATGTTTCAGATTGGTGAGTTGGCACCAGTCATCATTAGGCCCACTTCCATTTGTTTTCCAGAACTCTTAAATTAGTTACCTAAAATCGCATGGCCTACAACACCAGTATGTCACCGTCTCTGTCAGTAATCTGTAGCTGGTCTTCTATTTCAAGGTCTTGTACAGGCAGCCGTTTCACAGCAGTTGTTGGCTGTAACTGTCCTGTTTGTGGTTGCTGTCTGGCATCAATTCCTCACCGGTTGCTGGACCAAGAACGTCACTTCCCTCTCAGTTCCTTATAACGGCAGCTCACAACAGTGTGCTGCGGACTTTGTCAGAACGAGCTAAAGAGAAGAGATCGAGTGCAACCATCAGAAGTCACAGTCTCATAAACTCCTCTTGGAGGTGGTGTCCCTCACATTTGCTGTGTTCTGTTAGAAGTAAACAATGAGGAGCACTCCACACACAGGAAGGGATTACATAAGGCAGGGATCGTTGGGAGCCATTTTCAAAGCTCTCTGCCACTATAATCTGGTGCTGGCTTGAGAAGTTGAGTAGCTTTCGCCCTTGGAACTTAGAAAGGAATACTAATTTTTCTTTAAGGGCTAACTTCTATTCTGAGCCCTTCCTGAGGAGGAAAGGAAATGGGAAAGCTGGGAAATTTGAGGAGCACATTATATTGTGTACTCATCCCACAATGGATGGGAACTTATTAGGAGCTGTGGATCCTCCAAAACTGCCTTGATGAGAGATAGTAAGAACTCCTGGGGATAAAGCTGAAAGCTCATGTGGGAGTCTTCTCTAAGGACATGCTAAATAAACAGTCAAGGACACACCCAAATCTGTGGAGGCCACAAAAGGAATCAGTGGGATTATATGTTATGATCATGTTGTTAAGTGCCAGAGAGTTGGTGACAACTCATAGTGACTCTGTATAGTGTTTCCAAGGACTGGCTGGTGAGTTTGAACCACTGACCATGTGGTTCAAACAGACCATGTGGTTCAAACAGACCTTGTGGTCCAGTGCTTATCCTACAGGGCCACACCAGGACTCTGCTATAATCATAGGTGTATCTAACTTACTCAGAGTCAGCACCAGGAACAAATGGCTGAAAACTCCACAGAACCTCCTACTGCAGATATGTGCCCCAGAATGCATATGAGACAGGATGTACACACGTGACCCTTCCGATGGAATTCTGGTGTATCAACGTGTATTTTTTATACAAAGTCAGACTCTAAATGTCTATCTACATTGGGCAAACCTGCTGCAAAAGACCTCTTAAAATGTTAAAAGAGCTAAGATGTCAGAGAACTAAGGTGCACCTGACCCAAATGATGGTATTTTCAATGACCTGTTATGCATTTTGACAATGAATAAGGAAGACCAGAAAAGAATCTGTGTGTTTGAATTATGGTGTCAGAGAAGAATATTAAAAGTACCATAGAACAAACAAATGTCTTGGGAGAAATAGAACCAGAATGTTCATTAGAAGCGAGGATAGCGAAACTGTCTCAGGTACTGTGACTGTGTTATCAGGAGGGACCATAACCTGGAAAAGGACATCATGCTTGGTAAAGTAGAAAGTCAGTGAAAAAGAGGAAGACCCCCAACTGGATGGACTGACACAGTGACTGCAACAATGGGCCCAAACGTAACGGTTGTGAGGACGGCGCAGGACCAGGCAGTGTTGCCTTGTTGTGCATAAGGTCACAGTGCATTGAAGCCAATTCGGGGACACCTAACAACACAACAAATCAACGACGCTAAAGCAAGAAACAGTTTGAAGGTGTTTACACTAGGATCATTTTTTTGCCTTCAAAATCTGACTTCAGAACCAAACTTTGAAAAATATTCTATAGTCTGTGTTCTCAGTACTTGAGTTTTTCTCTAGACTTTCTAATCAGATTTTGCTAGAACAGCGAAACAAGGGCTCTTGGGGTCCTGTCTGAAAAGCCCTCATGCTCCTGGTCTCCCTTCCATTGGCCCAACCTAACAGAGGTGTCTTTGGATTATGATATTGGAGGTTTCTTACCAAGGGCAAAACCAGCCTCCAAGGGCCAGGCTTGTAGCCATTAGCTGAGAGTGCGCAAATCAGCTCTCAGCAGAAAGCTGAGCATGATGCCAAAAAATAAAAAGAACCAGGGTAGTTGGGTGAGAGAAATTGGGGAAAGTGCAAGACATGGGATATGGGAGTCTTACTTAGACATGGTCATGGGTTAGACACTGGGTTGCTAACCAAAATATCAGTAGCTCTAACCCAACAGCTATTCCATGGGAGAAAGATGAGGCTGTCTGCTCCCATAAAGATTTAAAGTCTCAGAGGTTCAAACCCACCAGCCACTCCTCAGAAACCCTATGCAGGGTCATTATGAGTCGTAACCCACTTAAGGGCACTTACTAACAACAACCTAGACATGGACTGGCCCAGCAGTATTGGGAAGCAGCATTTGACCTTGCAGTGAGAGGAATGCCTGAAGAGAAGGGCAGGGCAGAGTGGGAAGGGAGAAAGAATGGTTTCAAAACGAACGCTACATAAATTAGAACTGCTATCATCCAGTGAACACCTGCTAAGCATTGTAAATTGCTATCTTCTTTAAGGCTTCTCAATAAGAATGTCAAATAGATATTAGCAATCCTATTTTAGAGATGAGAAAACTGAT